AAAAAATAGGAATTGACTTAAAAAAAAAAAAAAATTATATTACTTGCTATTTATTAATTTAAAGTTGTATCCTGTCTTTTGTTAAAATCAAGAAGTTTTCAAAACATTAACAAATATATATTTTCTTTTTTAAATAAAAATGCCAGAACTGTTAAGAACGGGAGTCTGGAGCCAAGGGCAGGCAGGTGTTTCCCAAGGGGCGTGCGCTATCCGGCCAGAGGCTATTCCACCTGCTCCTGTCAGTCAAGCTTTTCAATTACAGGTTACGGTTGCAGTTTCATTTCGCGGAAGAAAAATCAAAAAAAGTCATTCAACTGGCGGAGGTGGAAAGTTTGCTGAGCAAACATTGCTCCTCGCTCGCTTCGTTAAGTCAATCCAAGTCTGCAACTCGAGTAGATGAGACACTGTTCTAACGAAAGCATTTCGAAGAAGAATTTTAATTTTGGAATGTCGAAAAGTTTATTTATTCTTTCTTTTTAAATTTTTGTATGGAAATAATTATACATTAATAATTCTATTAATCCCATACCATGTTTACAGAAGCCTAAGAAGTTCTAAATATTAAACAGAAGTTCCATACAAAAGTTCTAAATATTAAGATTTTGAAATAGCAAAGCTACATAATAAAGCATTCACTAAATTAATTAAAATATAGAAGATTTTGTTACATTATATTTGTTTTATTAACAAAGATTGCCCGTTTCAGGTGTTTATTCAAATTGTAATTAATCTGATATGGTTTTAAATATCCATCACATAAAAACAATTAAAATAAATAATTAAAAAAGAAACATTAAATAAAAAAAATGAGAAAGAATATCATGGTCTACATCTCGAGTAGATGAAACACTGTTCTAACGAAAGCATTTCGAAGAAGAATTTTAATTTTGGAATGTCGAAAAGTTTTCTTTTAATATTTATTTATTCTTTTTTAATTTTCATATGGAAATAATTAAACATAAATAATACTAATAATCCCATACCATGTTTACAGAGTTAGGACATTTCTAAATCTTAAAATTTTGAAATAGCCAAGCTACATCATAAAGCATTCACTAAATTAATTAAGGTATCCTTGAACATTATACTAAAATATTTTAATTTTACGATGTCGAAAACTTCTTTTTTATTTATTCTTTTTTTAATTTTTATATGGAAATAATTATGCATAAATAATTCTAATAATCACATACCATGTTTACAAAGGTGGGATATTTCTAAATATTAAAATTTTGAAATTGCTTATTTACATCATAAAGCATTCACTAAATTAATTAAAATATCAAAGATTTCTATAAATTCTTTTTTAAAAAATTTCCCGCTTCATTTTGTTACATTATGTTTGTGTGTTATTAATAAAGATCAGTAATCTCTGGTGTTTATTTAAATTGTAATCAATCTGATATCGTTTTAAATATCCATCACATAAAAACAATTAAAATAAATAATTAAAAAAGACACATTAAATAAATAAAAAAAAAATGAGAAAACATTTCATGGTCTACATCTCGAGTAGATGAAACAGTGTTCAAACGAAAGCATTTCGAAGAAGAATTTTAATTTTGGAATGTCGAAAAGTTCTTTTTTAATATTTATTTATTCTTTTTTAATTTTTATATGGAAATAATTATGCATAAATAATTCTAATAATCCCAAAACAAATTTACAGAGCTAGTACATTTGTGAATATTAAAATTTTGTTCTAACGAAAGCATTTAGAAGAAAATTTTTAATTTTGGAATGTCCACAAGTTCTTTTTTAATATTTATTTATTCTTTATTAATTTTCACATGGAAATAATTATACATAAATAATTTTAATAATCCCAAAACAAATTTACAGAAAACCGACCCTTTCTAAATATTAAAATTTTGAAATTAGCAAAGCTAAACGTCATAAAGCATTGACTGAATTAATTAAAATATCAAAAGGTTCACAAAAAAATCTTAAAAAAAAAAAATTCCTGCTTCGTGTTGTAACACTATGATTACGTATTATTATTAGAGATGAGGAGTGTTTAGTCAAATTGTGGTGTTTATTCAAATTGTAATTAATCTGATATCGTTTTAAATATCCATCAAATAAAAACAATTAGAATTAAATAATTCGAAAACAAACATTAAATAAAAAAAAAAAAAAAAAAAAAAATATGTTGTAAACCAGGGATGGCCAACCCAAATATCTTGCTGGCCACTTTGGAAATGTATCACAACACCGCGGGCAGCATATAAAATTATATATCCTTCTATTAGATTTAGACCCACTCTAGACCTTTTTTGGAGTGAAAAATGGAAACCTAATGAGCTATTATTATTGTGCTTGCTTTTATTTTTCATGCAAACCTAGATAATATAATAATAATGATACTAAACGCACATTGTAAAGAAATATATAACACTAAAAATGATATATAAAAAAAATATATAAATATCAACGAAATAAAAAAAATGAACTCATTAAAAAATACTCTAGTACTCATCTTAAAAAATAATCATCTTATTAGTGCGATATTTGTTTCTCCACTCTTTTAATTAGCTTTTGCAAGTCCATCTCAGTTTGGGTATTTGCACATCGTAATAAATGTTGCAGGCTAGCGTCCGTTATGTTTGAGCGTGTTTTGTGTTCAGTCAATTTCATTTTCGAAATAAAACGATTCGCAGGTGAAGTTGAACCAAAGCGCTAATAACTTCAACTGAGAGTCTGCTTTGCTGTTCTATCAACAATCAACTGTGCTTATCTAGGAATTATCACTGCGGTCACTTAAAGTGAAACACAGAAACTGTTATATTAGATGTTCCAAGATGCACGCACATCATATAATTTAATTATTCTGCGAACTCATAACTGTAAATTCCTAAATAAAACAGGCAATAACTGTCCTATATTTACAAGAATATTGTTTTAAAATCAAAGTTAATTTTTTCTCATCATCCTGACAGTTCAGTTTTGAATAGATGGATGCACACGTAATGTATTTGTTTTTATACATTGTTTTTCGCTACTATAAAATAAATATACTTCGTAAAAGTGTGAGAAATCTCACGGGCCGGAAAATTATTCAAGGCGGGCCGCGGGTTGGCCAACCCTGGTGTAAACAAATAATGAACATACTAAATTTAATAATGAAAAAAAAATTAAAAATCAATATATATATATACACTCAAGAGCCAAAACATTATGACCACCTGTCAATAACGAGTTGGCCCACCTTCGGCGCGCAACACAGATTCAACCCGCCTTGGCATGGATTAATACCACCACTTAATACCAGTTGAATACCACTTCCACTTGATCACGTGCCTTCCACGTCATCCAGGCGAGTTCATTGCAAAATGTAGGGGTGGTCATAATGTTTCGGCTCTTGAGTGTAAAAGAAATATATTTTGTAAAATTGTGATAAATCTCACGGGCCGGAAAAATATTCAAGACAGGCCGCGGGTTGGCCACCCCTGGTGTAAACAAATAATGAACATACTAAATTTGATAAATGAAAAAAAATTAAAAATCAATATATATATAAATAGCAAATGTAAGCCTGGTTTATCGCTATAACTTCGTAACCCCACCCCCATAGTCCCATGAGGGTTATATGATACCCCATGGGACTCAAATAATTCATCCTTGAAGAAGTTTCGTTTTGGAACTGTAGAGATTGGGTTCTGAGACATAGCTGCACACACGAACACACCAAGCTAACATTTAGCATGGTTTTCGTGACAATGTTTACATTTATTTTTATTAAGTTAGATAATTTACAATTATATAATTCATATTACAACAAGAATACATAAATTAATCGATTCAAAGGTTGATGTAAATGAAAGTGTTCATTTTCCCACCGAATTTTTTTTAATTCGCTTCAAATGCCAGAAATACCTTTACATTGTTTATCTTTGAAAAAAATAATTTTTTTCTAATGCAGCTGGAAAACACTTCGACAGTTGTCTTCGATACCTTGAGGCAAGAGCTGCACCGATGTTACTCACTTACCATTACCCAGTAGGTGCGTGCAGCTTGAAGATAAGCTACGGACGCGAAGTAACATTAGAGAGTTTTTCCATACCGTATCTTGGACGTCCGTTAGCTTTCTCTCCCTAGCGCGCATGATCATAGGAAATTGCAAATGCGCATCTGTAATAATGTTTCCCATGAGCATGCGCGCTAGTGAGAAAAAGCTAACGGACGTCCAAAATACGGTATGCAAAAACTCTCCAATACTTCCGCAACGCTCTATAGTCATGTTAAATTGGAACCTACGGTTGAATGTGGATCCCGAATCATCACAAACATCCATGGGGCACCGCTGGGACTCGAACCCGAACCTGTGGTACCGAACGCCAGAATTTATAATTATATAATTCGTGTTAAAACAAGATTCCTGGCGAGGAAAGCATATATAAATCAATCGATTCAAGGGTTGATGTAAATGAAAGTGTTAAAATTTTCCCACCGAATTTTTGGAATCGATTCAAATGCCAAGAATGCCTTTACATTGCTTACGTTTAAAAACAGTATAGCCCATCATCTTGTTGAGAAGTCACGATTCCCCCAGGTTATGTAATGGAACAAGAATAGGCAGTAAAACAGTTATCAAACAATATAGTTGAAGGAAAAATAATGCCAGTAAAAAAATAAAGTAAAAACAATACTTATTCCGAGGATTTCGTTCATATCTACTGAACTGCCATTTCAATTCAAAAGACAACTGTTGTTGTTGTTTCTTATCCCACTTGGCTGGCCAAGCCCACGAGCCCATACGTACTCATGATTGAAGGGGAAGGAAGCAGCTTCTGTTGTGATGGAGCACCCCGTAGGTAGAAGTCTGACTTTGGCTCCGTGACGCTCTTACAGTCATAGAAGATCGGGACCTACGGCTTAAAGTGGATTCCGAACTACTACAAACATCCATGGCACGGCCGGGATTCGAACCCAAAACCTGTGGCTCCGAGCACCCAGAGCGCTAGATACTCGGCCATTCAGCTCCCAAATTTGTGAATGCCAACGGCACGCGGTGTTCCCAGGTGGTCCCCCACCCACCCAAGAACTGACCGCGCCCGATGATGCTTGACCTCGGTGATCTAACGAGAACCGGTATATTTAGCATGGTATGGCCGTTGGCTAAAAGACAACTACTTCCAATGAGATACGAGTAAGCATTTAATAACGTAAGGCACAAGGACAAATGTTAGAATATCGTGGTATTACATTTTTTTTTAAAAATCACGCTTTTCTCACGGTCAATTATGTGCAGCTTGCTTTAAAGTGGAAAACCCAAAGAATTTCTGTTTCCAATCAAAAAAATAATAAGATAAATGTAGTTCATTAACAAATATTGTAATAGAATAAGTTAATTAACTATTGAATAAAGTGAAAAAAAAATAAAAAGCAGTGTTTTTTTTCTCACTAAATTAAATACAATTGTATTGATAATAGAATGTTTAAGTTTAGCTTTATAATTTCTGTATTTGAAGGTACACTTTTATAATGATAGGGAATTGCCCGGCTTTGCCCAAGCGAAACTCCGGCTAATAAGACAATATACATCTAGAGACGACTTTTCATGATCCATCCTGACTAACGCTGAATCTAACGAATAACGCTGTTCTAGTAACGAAAAACTCGTAATGTGCTATTGCAAACAATACCGGTACTGAGGACAAACCTCACGGAATTTGAAAATAACAGTGACATCGTATTTTCATCCCCCAAAACCCTGACATTATCATTTTGAAATATTTTAGAGGAAATTTTGCTTTTTATTTCCTTCAATCAATTCAAATGTTTTCCTTTATTTATGTTTATATATTCACAAATATAGTACGCGCGGTTTTGTACAAATATAATTTGCCGCCTGCAATCTTATCTGACTCTATTGTCATCTTCAGAATTTTATTTCTTTAAATAAAAATGTGTAATTTACCGCAGTTTTAGTTAAATCAAGCACTGATGTTTATGTGAAAAATTAGTTTAGTTAAAATAGTTTCTATCAAAAACTATTCTTCATAAATTAAAAGCTGTTTCTATTTTATCATCTAAGAAAAAATCCAGGTGACTGCTTTGATATGAGGCCTATTCCCTAAATACAGATTTGGCATTTTAATTTAAAATATTTCTCTTCAAATTCTGAGAGTATTATTACTTCTGTAATATTACTCTTTATTATGTATAAAAGTGATGTTGTTCTGAAGTTTATGATGTCCACAAAAAAGTGTATTATTTTGAATATCGATTATTCGATTATCCCGCAATACTCGGGCACAACAATTTATATATATATATATATGTATTTCTTTGTAATGCAGCTGGCAAACACTTAGACAGCTTGGTCTTGAATGCCTTAAGGCAAGCGCTGCACAGACGTACTCACTTAGCAATACTCAGGAGGTACGTGTAGCTTGAAGATAAGCTATGGACGCGGAGTAACACTAACTCCGCAATGCTCTACCATCATTTTAGACCGGGATCTACGGTTTAAAGTGGATTCCGAACCACTGCAAACATCCATGGCACCGCCGGGACTCGAACCCGAAACCTGTGGTACAGAGAGCCAGCCACTCGGCTATTCAGGCCACGTATATATATATATATATATACGTGGCCTGAATAGATATAGTTATATATATATATATATACGTGGCCTGAATAGCCGAGAAGACAAGCAATATATATATATATATATATATATATATTGTTCGTCTTAATAAACTTTAATTCGTCATGTGATTTTAATTATAAACTGCAGAAATGATTCAAGAAGTTCACTAACCTGAATATCTGGCGAGCTTATTTTGTTATTTTCAGCGTGAAGCAAATTACCCTTACCACTCAAATATCCTATTTATTGCAGTGCGCTCATCCCACTTTTATCCTCCATAACTCCCTGGCATGAAAAATTCTATCGTCCATTTCATGGAAACCAATGAGGAAAACGCGATTTGTGGTTGTATAACTTTTCAACTGCATAAAGAAATACACAGTAGGCCAACAGACGTCATAACCTTATTGTCTAAGTGGCGAGGCCAGTTTGCTTCATGCTGAAAGTAGCGAATCAAACCCGAGCGTTAGGGCCGTTACAATACTTCAGTGTCAATTGCAGTGAGTTTCATTTCGAACTGTTTATGACCGTCTGTAGGAGAGAAAGAGCAACTGCAATTTTTATTATTATTTATTTATTTATTTCGGAGGACAATGATCTGCGAGTAACCTGTTTAGACACTTTTAAAAGTGAACTTAATCTTGTTCTAGAGGTTTACGTTTAAAATAAAATTTTGATTGCTTTTTGTTTTTTAAACTTAAAATGCTACATATCACAAACGCTTACGATCTATAACTAATTTAATAAAAAATAAACATTTCAATAGTGGAAAAAAGTTTTTTATACTATTTTTTCCAATTTATTGCAAGCTAGAACTTTTGTCAGTAAAGATCTGGTCTGCATACAGAAGGTTATTGTATAATGAATAATACCTACTTCTCATATAAAAAAAACCTCAACTCCATTGGCATCAAAATATCAGACATCGTGTAAATATGTGATTAAAAAAAAAACTATTCTAAGCTTTATGGGATTATCAAACTCAATTTTATTTAAGTGTGGCGATTTGCTGGCTAATAAAAGTATTACAGTAGAAAACTTTTATTAGCCAGCTCTTTAAGTCGAAAACCTCCACATTTTTGGTTCCCTTCCCTTCAAGCCCAAAAACTCCATTACTCGAAATTTCAACCCTCTATAAGTCGAAATAATGAGTCCATCCCCACAAGCCATTTTAGTATATATTTTCCCTCCGTAACTCGAAAAAAAAAAATTGGGTCTCTGTATGTCGAACATTAGCAATGTTTGATTTCACAATCTTTTTTCCAACCTTTACAACTCGATTATTTGAAACTAATTACCTCCATAGCTCGAAGAAAAATAAGTTACCGACTTTAAGGATTTGCCGACAATGCACGCCATTGTTTCTGAGAAAACAATGTATGAGTATACAGTAAATAGAATAACCCATTCTATGAAATAGCAACTCGGAAGAAAAAGAGTTTTCTGCTCTTTATAGCTTACATAATACTATAGATAGAAAACGATCGAATTGCCTAAAGCAAAAAAAAAAAATTAATAATAACTAACTTTTTTAATACATAATATTTTTAATTTTAAGGTAGTTTCGGAATTATTTTGATTTTTTATTGTAGTACATAATATAACTCGTAAGTTGCAAATAAACTTGTTTGTTACCTCTGTAACTTAATTTTGTAAAGTATTTGACCTCTCTAACTCAAACTAAGTCAGAAAGAATCTAGACCTCTACAAGTCGAGTATTTCCTTACAGAATCCGCGTAAGTCGAAATCCTCCATAAGTCGAATTATTTGGCGTCTCCCTTGAAGTTCGACTTGCAGAGGTTCTGCTGTAGTTCGAAAGATTTGGCGATCAATATCTGACAGCATGAATAAATTCATTGGATGAACTTAATTTAATTAATGCTTAGTGTTATGCAATTAAGTTAAGAAGTAAGTAATGTATCCTGTTCACAAATAAATTGAAATTCGTAAAAAAAAGTCCGCCATATATTTTTTTTCAGTTCCTTCTATTTGCTCACACACTCCCTATATATATCGTATATATATATCTTGCACAAATTTTCAATCCTTCACAGAACACTTTTTATTCATCCACTCAAGTTCGAATACATTTTTCATTTTGAACTCGTAGTGGATGAACACTGGATGTTAACACAGTTTTTTCAAATATTAATTCAGTCGTTATATCAAATATTAATTCAGTCGTTATATCAAATATTAATTCAGTCGTTATATCAAATATTAATTCAGTCGTTATATCAAATATTAATTCAGTCGTTATATCAAATATTAATTCAGTCGTTATATCAAATATTAATTCAGTCGTTATATCAAATATTAATTCAGTCGTTATATCAAATATTAATTCAGTCGTTATATCAAATATTAATTCAGTCGTTATATCAAATATTAATTCAGTCGTTATATCAAATATTAATTCAGTCGTTATATCAAATATTAATTCAGTCGTTATATCAAATATTAATTCAGTCGTTATATCAAATATTAATTCAGTCGTTATATCAAATATTAATCTAATAATAGATGGTGCCCGATTAACTTCAAAAAATGAATGAAAATTATTTATAAAGGACTTTCTGCATTATAGTGGGAAAAAAAGTAGGAATTGATTTGTTTGTAGTATGATCTGCATGGATAAATTCATTGGATGAACTTAGCTTAATTTATACTCTGCGTTATGCAATTAAGTTAAGAAATAAGCAATGTATCCCCAATTGAATTGAAATTCGTAAAAAAAAAAAAAAAAAAAAAAAAAAGTGTGCCATATTATTGCCGTAAGCCAGTAAGGTGGTGTACGGGAGAATCAAACTGAAAGAAACCAAGTCTTATGGAAACCAGTCGGCGAGTGTGAGGTAAGTTCTAAAAAGAAACGCTCCTGCTGCGATGCACCTGCTTTTGAACCCGATTTCGTGACAACAGCTTCGTTCCGCCGCACGTTTCGTCAGGAATTCCAACTCAATGTCCTCCAACATGAAGATGCTGCTTTCTATACAACCGGAATTCGGCATCCGAAATCGCTGAGAAAATTTTTAACATAGTATACATTTATTGGAGAACTTACTACGAGAAGTTCGTATTAAATCTTTAGTGTATTTTTTTCGTATGAACATATAGATGTGCTAACTATTGAAATCACAACAGGCATAGAAGCAAGTTTATTATTGCAAAATTTTTGCAAATTTTAATTGTTAAATTAATTCATGGTATTTAAATAATTTAATAATTTAGCATTTAAAAAATTTAAATAATTCGTAAATTTAGTTATAATTTAAATATTTTTGATAGCACTTAAATAATTTTATTTTAATAATTTCATGGCATTTAAATTGCACTTTTCCGCTTAAAATAATTATTATTATGTTGATGTTTAAAAACTTTAAAATATTATTTTCTTAAGAAGCATTCGTTTACCAGAAGAAAAAAAAATCGAAATTCAAACTCCAGGCTCAAAATAATAATAATAATAATAATAAAGATTATGTATAAAAATATTTGAATTGGTGGACAGTACATCTAAAAAA